GATGGTTAAGTGATGATATGGTGCCCTCTTCACTTCATGGCAGGGCTTAAGACAGACAGACCTGCCCGCTTCACTGTTAACTTCAATGCTCCCAGTCTGAATCCACAGTGGTCTGTCAGACACTGTAAGGGAGCAGCAGGACTCGTCACTGTCTGATGTAATAGCTGCCATTTGTTGAGACCTATGGTAGAAAAAACCAAGTTAACAAAAATAGAGCAGTCAGTTGAGTTCTTTTTAATCCATCTTACAAAAAAAAAAATTTAAAAAGACCAAAATTAATTTGAATCTTCCTAATGGGTTTATTCTGGATAACTTGCCAGCCTCAGACAACAAAGCTTTGGTTCTGCAGAGCCTCGATAGCCATGTGGCTATCCCATGGTATCCCAACCATGGTCAGGAGAGGGCACTCTTGTGTGCACATGCCATTAGATGCAGAATGTAACCTGGCAAGGTGCCCTACAAATGAAAGAGAAAATGCTAACTCACATTTTATGTCCCTGAGGGGGGGAAAAAAAGCTTAGCATCTAACACTAGCCTGTTCTTGGAGCAGTCTCAATCTGGATGGTCCAGAAGGCTTAAGTTTTCACCTCACGCATATTACATCATTCGGAAGCTCTAAGACCATCTTTTGATGGTCTTCTCCTTGAACATTAATGATCGCCCTCGCATAGCTTCTGGTTCTAACTGGCTGAGAAGAACATTTTTTTTAACATGATAAGCTTTCTGAGAACAGAACCTTAAATGTTGAACGTAATTCAAATGAAAAACTACTATTTTAAGACTTGTTGTTTTGCTTTGAGGCAGGGTCTTACACTACAGCCTGGGGCTGGTCTAGAACTCTGTGTAGGCCAGGCTAGCCTCAAACTCCTGCCGTGGTTTTCCAGGTGCTGGGATTGCAGTCATGAGCCAGCACATTCTGCTTTCAGTTTTATTTTTAAGGGTATTTGATTGCATACTTACTTCTATCAACACAGCCAGCTCTGGGATTATTCACTTATTATTATTATTTACTATTAAAATTCATAATCAGAGCCAGGCAGTGGTGGCACATGCCTTTAATCCCAGCACTCCAGAGACAGAGGCAGTTGGATGCCTATGAGTTCAAAGCCAGCCTGGTCTACAGAGAGTTCCAGGATAGCGAAGGATACACAGAGAAAACCTGTCTTGAAAAACTTTGAAAGAAAGAAAGAAAGAAAGAAAGAAATCACAATCAAGCAGGGCATTACTATGCATAACCTTAAATCTCAGCAGAAGCAAAGGCAGGTGGATCTCTGCATTCCATGCAAGCTTGGTCTACATAGCAAGTTGCTGGACAGCCAGAGCTACACAGTGAGGACTTGTCTCAATAAATTAATTCAAATTCCAGATCAGAAGCAGGAGAGTTGTAAAGTATAAAAACTTCTAATGTAAGCTGTCCTGACACTGAAAAGCCCAGTGTAGAAAGACAATTACCTCTGAATTCTAGTTTAGAGGTTCAATAGTAGTAAGGTTTTACATCAGAATCTGAGTGCACTATTAACTGAAGCAACAGCAACTACACAGGAGAAAAGGAGCCAACGCACTAACGCTTGCTTTGGGGAATGTCCAATCACACTCCCGAGATCATCTTCCAACCACCACCTGAGCTGAGGACTACGGACAGTGGACAAACGCTGAGGGAATTACTTGTGTTTTCCCCTCCCTGCCCCCTTGGTGTGTGCATGTTTCTTGAAACAGGGTCCCTCTACGTGACCCTGGCTTTCCTGGAACTTGCTACGTAAACCAGGTTGGCCCAGAACTCAGATAAGCCTGCTTCTACCTCCCAAGTGCTGGGGTTAAAGGGGTGTACCACCATGCTAAACCAGTCGGTTTTCTCTAAGGGTAAAGCCCTAGTAGGTCAATCATGCTTCAGTGAGTGAACACCAAGGGTTACAATAAAAAATAAAAATAAATTTTAAAAACAGGACAGGAAGTTGGTGGATGGATCTGGGAGCAGTTAGGGGGAGAAGATCAAAATAGTCTATGCATGCATGAATTCCTCAAAGATTTTTGTGAATGAGCATTTTGCCTGCACATATGTGTACCACATGCCTGCCTGGTGCCCATGGAAATCTGAAGGTGGCATTTCACATATGGGTGCTGGGAAACAAACCCAGGGCCTCTGCAAGAGCAACAAGTGCTCTTAACCATACTAAGCTATCTCTCCAGCCCCAAATAACTGTACTTTTAAAAGAGAATTGGCCTTTCACTTTATGTAAACAAGAGGCAGAAAGATCAGGGATGACTCCCCTTTCCTGTTCGTTTTTTCCACTGCAGCTCTTGAAATGCTACATAAAACCTCAGCATGTCAGTTCTAATACAGTCTGCCTGGAGCATGGTGCTGATGCTAAAGATGAGCTTCCCCTCAATACTTTCACAGGGTCTTCAAATTTTCTTTGGAAACTTAGCACCCAAGCAGGCTATCTACTAGGAAGAGCCATGGAACCCTGCCTGAGATGAAGTAAAAGGAAAGGGACCCCAGGAAAAGGCAGCGATCTCAAGCTCAGAAGTTACTTGTTTGTCCTTTAAGATAAATCCTGCATGCACAATGGTGCTCTCCTAGGGCCAGCAGAGATGAAGGAGGCAATCAGAAGAGGGTAAGTATATGATCACCCTTGTAGAATCAATGAAACGAGGAACAGAAGGCCATGCTTAGTGCAAAGCTTGCCCTGAAAAAGTGAAAGATTCTGACTATATGCATGGACCTATGATTCCACTAAACACTCATAAACTCCAATACAAATATGATGCAATGTGAGCAAGAATGACATGCAGAAGTGACATCTCTTTGCAGAGACATTCTGGTTTTGTAAGCAGTTACTGGTTCCATGTCTGAGCTTTAGACAAACAGCACAGAGTTCTTCCCAGGTTACTTGGACTCACATCAAGACGTACCACTACCAGACAGATTCTCCACTAAAAACACACTGGAGGGGAAGGAAGGACTGACCATCCGTTTGTGATCAACAGCATCTCAAAATGAACCATGAGTAAACAATGACTATCCTCTGGGAACTATGACCATGGCACACCCACATTCAGTCTCCTACTCAGTACATGTGTAAACTGATGTCCACTTGTTAAAATGTCAAGTCTCCAAGAACATACAGAAGCTGTGCAGATGGGCCAACTTCAAAGTGACAAGGGCAGCTTGTAGCTCCTTTGTAAGGCTCTCCTAACAGGACTCTGCTGCATGGAGACCTAAGCTCAGATTCTTCTCCTACCTCTGGAAAGGATTTGGAATGTGGAGGATTTAGAGGTGATGACCGATTACATGTCTGAGTCAGTCTTCCTCCAGGTACAAGGAGATGATCATTTCTTTTGTGTACATACACAAGAGCCTGTGTGTGCTGGTCAGAGGACAATTTACAGTTGTCAGTTCTCTCCTTCTCCCTTGTCCCCAGAGATCAAACTCAGACTGCCAGGTTTGGCAGCAAGCTCCTTTGACCACTGCACCTTCTCACCAGCCCTAGATGAACTTATTTCTACCTATGCCTATGCTTACCAGGAGCAGAATGAGAGAGTACTAGATAGTCTTCAAGTACGTTAAATATGATACTATCGTGAACTTTAATAATGGTTTCTATAGCTCATACATAATTCCCATGACCTCCAATAGTTAGCCTCCATAAATGCCAGCTAAAACCAGCCAGTTTAATCAGACATGGTGGCAAGAACTGTAATCTCAGAACTCTGAGGTAAAAGCAGGTCAACAGTTCAAGGCCAATCTCAAAACAAAACAAAAACCACCCAAACTCCCAGGGAGTATATGCTACCTCTAGCTACCGTGATTACAAAAACTTAATAAAACATTCCATTTATGCTAAGTATACAATGTTTAACAGATAGTATTAAAAGCTACCAAAATTAAGTTTCTCTGCTACACACAGGCCTTGTACCAGGCACTCTTCTATTGCTTTAAAGACAAAAATTCTGAGGTGGTGCTATTCATTCTGCCCATTTCACAGATGACGACACTGAGGTAACCTGCCTAAGACCGCACTGCTTGTAAGGAACAGATTGAAAGCAGACTAGCGCATCTGGCTCAAGAGCTCACACTTTTAAAAAGTGAAAAACAATATTCTTTGTTTGAGAATGGCCTGCTGTCAAGCAGGGCTGATGGCAAACTGTTTGCCATCCAACTGTTACTAGCTCCTTTATTCACATCTGGATAGCACTCTCATTTTTCTACATCGACAACCTCCGTAAGTTACAAACAAAAAGCTTCCATTTTGCCGGGCGGTGGTGGCGCACGCCTTTAATCCCAGCACTCGGGAGGCAGAGGCAGGCGGATCTCTGTGAGTTCGAGGCCAGCCTGGTCTACAGCGCGAGATCCAGGAAAGGCACAAAGCTACACAGAGAAACCCTGTCTCGAAAAACCAAAAAAAAAAAGCTTCCATTTCATTTTTCTAGAGGGAGGAAATACATTCCTCGGGCTTTCGATAGTTTGATTTGGTTTTGCTTTTATGGGGGCACACAAAGTAAGTCAGTAGCCTGGGCTAGCCTCAGATCAGGATTCTCCTGTCTCCACACCAGGCTTCTTTAATAGCTTCTAAGAGAATCTTACATGAGTGTTAAATAAGAGACAGCAATGATTGCAAAATACCTTGAACAGTTAGAGACACTCTGGCTAAAATTTACCACACAATATAATTTGATGTTTTGTTTTTTTAAGACAGCCTTTCTCTGTATAGCCCTGGCTGTCCTAGAATTCTGTAGACCAGGCTGGCCTCGAACTCAGAGATCTGCGTGCTTTTTCCTCCCGAATGCTGGGATTAAAGGTGTATGCCACCATTGCCCAGGATATTTTTTTTTTCTTCTTGAAAAAAGTGTATCCCAGCACTCGGGAGGCAGAGCCAGGCGGATCTCTGTGAGTTCGAGGCCAGCCTGGGCTACCAAGTGAGTTCCAGGAAAGGCGCAAAGCTACACAGAGAAACCCTGTCTCGAAAAACCAAAAAAAAAAAAAAAAAAAAAAAAAAAAAGAAAAAAGTGTAACCATAAAAGCCACTCCAGGCCTAGTGTGCTAGCTCATGCCTGTAATTACAACACTCAGGCGCAGGAGACAGAAGGCGGAGACAAGAGAATGTCAAGTTTGAAGCCAGCCTAGGCTACATGAGACCTTGTTTCAAACAACAAAAAACCTAACAAACTTGCACACACAAAGGCAGAGAAACAGAGAGAGAACGAGAACATGCCCCATATACTTTAGCTATGAAGGACTTGGCTTTCCTTGTATAGAAATTATGAGGTCTTTCTTTCCTTTTTTCTTCTAAGACAGATCGATGTAGTGCAGACTGGTCTCAAACCTATTTAACCAATGCTTACCTTCCTGACTCATATTCCTGCTTTTTACAAAATTTCTAGGAAACTACTGCAAATTTGTCTTCACATCTCTAGAGCTGGGCACAGTAGTGCAGGCCTACAATCCTGATACTCCAGAAATCAGAAGTCAGTGTCCAGTACCCTGGAACTGGAGTTTCAGGCTGCTGTGAGCTGCCTGATGTGGGTGCTGGGTACAGTATACACTTTCATCTGCTGACCCAGCTGTCCAACCTCCATTATTATCAAAGTCATTTAAATGGCTCCATTATTCATAAAAATTATCCAAGCAGTTGTTACTATTTGAAGAAGATAATTTGAATTAATTAAAAATTACTTAGTAGGTGAATGTAGTCATATTAATTTACCTAACTTTTACTAAAGCATTAAGTATAATGCATATTAGCACGGTTAGCTAGAGAATCTCCCCATGTAGGACTGCAGGTACGTAGCAAGGAGTACTAGAAGCAAGCATTCCTAGTACTAACTCTGAGCACATTTAAAATTAAAAGATTATAAGCCACTCTTGAAATTCCAGCATTTGAGGCAATGATTGTCCTGGGCTAGAAACCAGCCTAGGCTTGAGTGACCTAGTTTCAAAAAACCAAAATGAGAAAAAAAAAAAAAAAAAAAAGCAAAGAAAAACATCCAGATTACAGATGGACAGTGGTCATGGTCGCACAATACATACTTAACCACTTTTAAAACTGTACAACTGGGTGCTGAGGAGATGGCTTAGAGTCCCAAAGGCTTTCTTAGCACCTACATCAGGTGGCTCACAATGACCTACTCCAGGGGTTCTAACACCCTCTTTTACCCTCTGAAGGCATTTGTACATGTGGCATGCATACATACATACACACACACATACACACTTTTTTTTAATTGTACGACTAAAATGGTTTTAAGACGGAAGGCAGGGGCCACACATGCTCTACATAGCAAGGCTACACAATGAGACCCTATCTACCGAATAGGAAAAGGTAAAACTTTAGAGTTGGTATGGTGGCACATGCCTAGGATCCCAATACTCAAGTAGCTGAGGCAGAAGAACCACACTGCCTGTCCAACCAGCCTGGACCACAGAACAAAATCCTCTAAGAAGCAAATAGCCCCCAAAATGGTAAATTTTAGGTCATGTCTATTTAAATATGTATAAAATTATAATTCATTTTAATAAGACAAAGTTATTTTTAACTAAAGACACAGGGGAAGTAAGAGGGAAATCCCAGCTGGGGAGCATCACAAAGACAAATTGAAATGGTGCCCCTTTTTGACTATGGAATCTATTATCATGGAAAAAATACCCAAATACTCTGCTAAAACTATAATTTATCCCTGTGACTTTCTAATTAATGCAATTGTGGCTGAATGAAAGCCTGAATACAGTAATCGTACATAACCTGTAGAAGCACAGTAAGAGCCTTTCAAGTCCGAACCAGGTGGAAATAGTAAAGGCAGCTTGGCCGCTTACTGTGGCCTGGCAGGAAATGGAAAGGTACCAGCCCAACAGTAGCTCTCAATTCCGGATATTTACATTAGTGTCAACAGCTGTATTAGCACAGCCCCAAAGCAAAAACTGATTCGTTCCTCCTTAGAAAACGACCTGCACAGTCAGGTGGTGGTGGTGCATGCTTTTAATCCTGGCACTTGAGAAGCAGAGGCAGGCAGATCTCTGTGAGTTTAAGGCCAACCTGGTCTACAAAGTGAGTTCCAGGACAGCCAGGGTAGTTACACAGAGAAACTCTCTCAAAAAAACAGGAAACAAAAAATTTTAAAAAAGGAAAGAAAGAAAATGACCTTCACTGTCTCTGGGCAATTCCTTATTGGAAAGGATCACTTACCATAAATCCTTGAACTAAAACCTTCACTACTAACTTTTCTAGACACGTCAGTGTACCACCAATTCAGCACAAACCATAGAACATTTACAAATTAGATGAGAAAATCTAACTTTAAATGTATACTGTAAATTTCTGATTTCTGCTCAGTTATTCAGTATAGAGGAAAACTGGTCCTTTGCAATGTCTGAATATGTTTCCTTCAATAACCAACTTTAGAAGGGCACAGCCTCTCTTAATGGAGTAAAACTCAGACCTATTAAGACATTCATCTAAGCTGATTTTTAGTATCAGTCCCATGTTGCCTACCTACAATGTCTTCAGAGCAAAGTTCCTGTTTGCTCCACTTAGTACTAAGTTACAATCACCATCACTAACATTTTGTTCCCAGCCACATGTGTTGGTGCATACCTATAATACCAAAACAGAAGAGCCCAAGGCCAGCCTGGGTTATGTAGTAAGATCCTGCTCCAAACTTTAAGAAAAAGAAAAATCTGTCAAAACTACTTAGGAGACTGGAGATGATGAAGCTGTTAGCAGAATGCCTGGCTAGTACAAAGAAAAGCCTGGTTCAATCCCCATCATCACATAAACTGGGTGTAGTGGTGAACACCAGGAATCCCAGCATGAGAGTGAGGCAGGAGGTAGTGAGTTGGAGGCCAGCCTGGGATACATGAAACAAAACAAAACATTTAGGGACAAATCAAGTCATAGATTTCAGACCAGTGAATCCTAGTCTCCCCAACTCCTTCACAAGACTTTCCTACAGGTCTCTTGTTCTGTGGGAATAAACTAGAATTGAATACACCTCTCTTCTAAAGACCAGGACACTTCCTGTTTCCCAAATTCTAAAAAAGAAAAACACAGCTTTGAGGTTTTAAATTTCTAAAGACACCGTTTAAATTTTTTTTTTTCTCCTCCCTCCTCTCTTCCCTTTCCCTCCCCCCACCTCCCATCTATCCCCCACAACCACTCCTTCTCCACTCAGAAAGGGGAAGGTCTCCCATGGGAGTCTACAAAGCATGTCAGATTGCACTGAAGCAGGACCAAGCTCTCCCCCCACCCCACTCCCTTTGCTGGGTGAGGCATCTCTGAAGGGGGAATAGGTTCCAAAAAGCCAGCTCATAAGCCATGGACAGGTTCTGATCCCACTGCTGGGGCCCCACAGACAGACCAAGCTACACAACTGTAAAGACACCATTTTTACAGCTTGCTCACTTGGTTTCTGCCCTTGCTCATCCTTGTCTTTTAGCTAATTTTCTTACCTTGGAGATTTGTCTAAGCCAATTTTCTCTCTGCAGGGAGAAAACAAACCAAACCAAAAAATGTCCACTTGGGTTATCACTATACAAAAAGTGCCCTTTATCTTCTCAGAGAAAACTTTGTATCTCCACTTGCATTAGCCACTAGACGGTCACCTTGCTTGGGAAACTCTATTGAAATATTTTTTAAAAAAATTCTCTCACTATGTAGCCTAGAACTCACTCTGTAGACCAGGCTGGCCTCGAACTCAGAGACATGATCAGTCTGCTAGGACTAAAGATGTGCAGCACACACTGCCAAGTACATTTATTTTTTTTGACCAGGAACTCATTATGTAGCCTGGGCAATCTCAAACTCACTCAAATCCTCTTGCCTCCATCTCTCAGATGCTAGGATTGATAGAACGCACCACCACACCTAGCTGAATGTTATTTCCACACTCCACAAACACAGATTATATTTCCCTTATAGCTTCTGAAATAGCACAAATGGTTTATGCCATAAAGATACATTTGCCAAAGCATCTAACTATATTAACACCACCTACTTTCAAAGTCACTATTACAACAAAACAGCCCAGATCACTACACAAAGCTTTAAAATTACCTTTCAGGTGACTCTTGCTTAAATCAATTTTTCAAAGATACCCAAATAAGTAAGTACTTTAATCTAAAACAAATATTCAGAAAACCTAGAAAGATATTTCTCTTATAAGCCCTCCATCATATGGTGAACTTTCAGCCTGTCATAATCAGATCATTTTAAACAGTATCTGTTTGCAGGAAAGAATATGCATCTTTTTTTATTGTGTGTTTATTAAAATCAAAAAGCATTGACTAAGTTCCCCAAAAAATATTCTATTTTTTTCCCAAAAATAATCAGGTATCAAGCTTAAGGAAGCTAATTTCCAAATTTCATTAATCTTTATTAATTCCATAGTAACTAATATATCTCATACTGGATTACTTTAGAAATCCACAAAAAAAAAATACCTTTTTATATTTCAACTAAGTACCAAACTGAAATTATATCAAATTTAAAAAACAAAAATTAAAAAAAGCTTGGAAGCAACTTAATTTCTGAGATTCTCTTGCCTCCACAGGCAGACTACTTTCCCAGCACGGGGGAGGCAGACACAGAGGCAGGCATAACTCTGAGCTCAATCAGCCTGGCCAGCCAGAGTGATAGAGTGAGACTCTCTCAAAGCACATCTTAGTCGGACCACTAGCCCCAAAGGCAGTGCTGAGGCAGAAGACCAAATAGAGCACACCAACTACGATTACCTCGTTTTTTATAGCATATGATCGCTTATTAAGGCTAAAATTGAAAAAAATTAAAAAGCATTCCTGAGAGGTTGGTGGGAACTAGAGTTCTATCAGATGGCATTACTACAGAGCCTCTTGCTATTTGAATTTTACCTATTCTCAGATATTATTCCCTAAGAGGGCAAATAGAAAGCTAAATTTGATTTCTCACCTGAATAATTTTCTACTATTTTGAAACTGTTCAAAGCTTTTTGAGAAACACACACAAATAATTTGGATTTAGTTGATTTTATTTACAGCTTTTTTTTTTTTTTTACATTTCAATGCATTACACAATTACATTTTTCTCATTTTCTGACCTGCAAACAGATTACCTTAAATGGAAATGTTTCTTAAAAATTATCAAATTAGGTACATCCAAAATGCAACAATTACACATGACATTAATTCACAAAGTGTAAATTACTAAGGCTCTGTCCTAAAAATTTAGGACCAGCCAGTCAGGAGAAATCTGACCAAATGTTCACTCAACTACTCACATACCCCAAACAAAACCTATCTAAACTTCCCAACCAAAAGTCTGAAGTTTGTTATGTTCCCATTAGACAAGAGTGGTGTGGTGACTCAAGCCTGTTCAGTCTTAATAGTTTTAACCCTAAATACTGGACAATGTGTACAACCTGGTCTATAACTAAACAGCAAGCATCTCAATTTGTCAGAGCAAGCATCTCAGTTTGTCCAACACCCAATATCAAATGTTTATACCATTATGTGCATAGAAAGTCTATGTGTTCACTAATTATTAAACAAGCAGTCATTAAATATCCACTGTCCCCAGCTCACCAGCCCTTACTAAACCCCCCATATGCAGCCTGTGTCACACAGTGACAGGCAATAGTTTATATGTGTGTGTATATACAATAGGTACAAAATGGCAATTAACAGTCCCTGCAAAAATTCAGTTTCATTTGAGGCTATGGCTTCTGTGCCTTAGGATGGTTTTAGATTTCAAAACTGGAAAACACTGCTAAAAAATCTCAGTTCCTTAAGAGAAAATTTGACAGCATGTTCAGTTTTCAGCTTCTTAGTCTAAAAATGGCTATGTAAGTATAAAAAGCCAACTGAGTGCAACTTCTTTCCAGTTTGGCCAAGCTAGCTGGTGGAAAGGATTTCTAACTAGCCAGGGAACTGCGCCGCTCCAGCGGTTCTCGCCTACCTTACTGTCCATGTTCACGTTTCAAACTGTGTCAACAAAGACCGCACTTCAGGGGTCAGCTGCTTAGCAGCCTTAGCTGCCTCTGTGATAGCCCTGCGATACAGACCCTTTCTTCTCTTATTAAAGCGTAACTGGAAGTTTTCTAGAAAGGGGGAGAGTTGTGAAAGAGCAAGGAAAGATGTTGTTGGAGATGCAAACCATGAAATCCGGGCCTCCTGTCGGGCTAAAAGGCCGTTATCTTTCCGGCTTACAGTTATGGTAAGAATTTGGGCTGGCCACCATGGAAAGCCATATATCTTGGCCCAAACAATGTCCCCTACACATATGGTCCTGCCATCTGGTGTGATACACTTAGAGACATTTTTGGAAAAGATTTTCATTTTCAAGGAATTGCTGAGACTTTTCTCCTCCTTTGAAGAGGAGGAAGTGGAAGGTGCACGCATACTGCCTGGAGGAAAGACAAAGCTCTCAGAAGAGCTACACCCCGAGTTGGAGGATTTCACATCATCCATGCTATCAATGCTACACACTGAAGCACTGCAAGAGTCAGATTTCTCTGGATTTAGGGTCAGGTAAACAGAGAGATTGCTTTTGCTGCCCTTTTGGCCCACCGTCTGCAGATCCTCCTGCTCACCGGGCACATACACTTTGCTTGTGTCCTGAACCTCACTGGCGGCCTCTTCCGGGCCTTCTGAGGGACTCTGATTTTCTGAAGGGGCCTCACCTGCTGAGCGGGTGGAGGTGCAGCGAGACTGCGGCTTAGGGGCCAGCTTGCCACTCCGAATTTTCTCCAGTCCTGTCTTCAGCGAAGAGTCATTTTCTTCATTCCTGTACCTTTGTGGTTTTAAACGCACCCGAGGTGGGAGGGAACCTGAGCTAGGATTCTGATAGCGACGTGTGAAATGGACTTTCGAGTGTGTGTTTTTGGAAGTAGAGGTTTCACTTTGCTTCTTCTGTGCCTTTTCTTTGGCAATTTTCAATACTTCCCGAGCTTTTGCATGATCCATGTTCTTGCTCTGGAGTACCTTCTTGGTACTTAACTGAGCTTTTGACGTGTTTGCCTGAGCAGAAACTTTGACTACCCTGCCTCTGCTGTGAGCAATGTTGGAAACCCTCACCACAGCGTTTCTTCTCTGGCTTTCGTTTTGGTTTTTCCCATCCACTTTATGGTCAGTTTTCAGTTTTTTGTTCACAGTAGCTACACTGTCATTTCTCCGTTTTTTATCTTCATACCTAGAAGAGTCACTGCTACCCTTCCTAATTTCCTTCTTTTCTGCAACAACACTGTTTTTACACTTATCACACAGGACTTGCCTGGGCCGTAGCTTAATCGCATTCATTATTGAAGTGGGTTCTTCCCTGTACATTTTTCGTTTGGGTCGCTTAATTTTGCGAGGAGGTGGCTGAGGTATTGATTGGTTATATGTGTCCCTGATAAACAAGGGGGGAGGATAAGGTGCTCCTTCATGGAAGAGAGGAGGTGGTTTGGAAGTCCACAGGCGCTCAGGAGGAGGGACTGGAGAAAGGTCCTCGGGAACAGCACCATTCACTTCCCGTTTGACTTCTATCCCTTCTTGGAATGTGTTACTTTGGAGCTGCATGGCGTCCGGTTTATCCTTATATTCCCTTTTGGGAAATACTGTCACAGGGATCCCATGGGGCCCAAACCTTTAAGGAAATGGAAGAACAAAAGAAAGCTAGTGAGTTGACATATGTAACTCAACGTCTGAAATGTAGTCAACTTCGTAAGTATCTATACAATAAAAGTCAAAAATAAACCACTGCTCTCTTGGAAGTAACAAAAATCTCCACTTCTTTTGGTTCCATATTTTAGAGAAAACCAGAAATAACCTAAATGGTTACCCTAAACAATACCAGAATAGCTAGCTTTACTTAAAAGAGACCTTTCTGTTATCAGACAGATTAATATGAAATGCCATGTGGTAGGATACTCACTGAACCATGAACACTTTTTAGTAAATGCAATCATACATTAGATATAATCATTTTCCTCTCAAAAGCTTAATAAAAGATAGGGGTGGTGGTACCTGTCTGTAATTCCCATACCCAAGAGGCTAAGACAGGAAGATCTCAAGTTCCAGGCCAATTCAGATATTCAAATTATTTCCAATGCTGACAGGAATAGAGCTGTGTGATTTCAAAGTTTGTTTGGTTTTTGTTGTTGTTGTTGTTGTTGTTTTTCCAGACAGGGTTTCTCTGTGTAGTTTTTGATGCCTGTCCTGGATCTCGCTCTGTAGACCAGGCTGGCCTCGAACTCACAGAGATCCATCTGGCTCTGCCTCCCGAGGGCTGGGATTAAAGGCGTGTGCCACCACCACCACCACCACCACCACCACCACCACCACCACCACCACCACCACCTGGCTCAAAGTTTGTTTTTTTAATACTTTGCATGTATGGATGTTTTAGCTTCATGAATATCTATGTATACCATGAGTGCAAGTACCTTCAGAAGCCAGAAGAGATACCTGGGACTGGAGTTACAAACTATTGTGAGCTGGGGACCATGTAGGTGCTGGGGACTGAACCCAGTTCATCTGGAAAAGCAGTCTTTAACTGATGAGTCATCACTTCACTGCCTGCCACACCGCCACCCCCCGTACCCCCGGGAGTTTCAAACTTTTTGAAAACACATACTACATTCAGAAATAATTCCAGCAGGGCAGAGTAGCACATATCTGTAGTGGCAGTACCAAGAAAGAGTGTGACAAAGGATTCTGAGTTCAAAGCCAACTTGTACGACACAGCAAAGCCTCTTGTCTCAAAGAGAAAACCAAAGAAAAAAAAGAAAGGAAAAGTATTTTCCAATGTAATGCAATTTAAAAACCAGTTACACAGCAGGTGTGCATGCCTCGATCCCAGGTTCTGTACAGAATGGGAATGTGCAGAAAAGGGGGCGTCAGTGAAAACCGTTTCTCATACAAACCAGAAATCTAACTGATTTAATGCACTGGGACTGAAATAAAGAAACGTTAAATTAAATTTGCTGTATTCATTGCCTTCATTTAAAAATGAAACCATACTCCAAGTAATCTCAGTGTATGCCAGCGTATATATGTCAGCTTGCTTATTATAAACACTGAAATGGTAGCAGCTGGCACAAGATGATGCTAATGCCAGTCTTATAAGGCAAAGTTATGAGAACCCGAGGTCAGAAGCAGGCTAGACAGGTAGAACCCTGTAAACTGAATGAAAATGTTTTCTATAGGTCAATTTTCCCCCAAGAACAAGTTTTTAGTTTTTCCTTTGTTTTTTATGTGCCTGTCCTCTTAAATGCTCTCCAAAGGTTCAGAATAACTGGTTAAGAAAACAGTGTAACCAGTCATGGCTTAAGGCCAGTCATGGTGGCTCATGCCTTTAAGTTTAGCAATCAGGAGGCAAAGACAGGAGGATCTCTGTGAGTTCCCTAGTTCCAGAACAGCCAGGACTATAGAAAAAGAGACCCTGTCTCAAAAACAAACAAACAGAAAAAAAAAAAAAAAAGATAGCCTCTCATGTTCCTCTCTAAAAAATAATAAATCTTTGGGGCTGGAGAACTTAAACATAATAATCTTAATGATTTTATTTTTTAAATAAAGTTCAAAAAAAATTTTTTTGAAATAGGGTCTCACAGTGTATTCCAGGCTGGCCTAGAAGTTGCTATATAGTACAAGCTGGCCTTAATCAGACCCTCCTGCTGCCTCACAAGGGCTGGAATGACAAGTATATGTCTCCATACCCAGCTGATCTAAAGTGAAGTTTTCAGCTCTTATCAACTGTACATTTTAGTTTTGCATGTATAAAATAAGGTTAGTTCCCAGCTCATGGATAGTAATCCTCAACAAACTCATCAACAAATATTAGGCATAAATTTTACTTCATTTAAATAGTTTTATATTTTACTAATGTAGAACTTAGAATTCTCATATCTTACTCACCAATTACTTATATGTAGACTGAACAGCAGTAAGCACTCTTAACCACTGAAACATCTCCCTGGCCCCAAATATATTTAAATAATTACAAAATGACCTCAAGGGACCAGAAAAATAAATCACTTTTAGAGAAAAAAGGAGAGATCACATGTCTTCACTCATCATGTTGCTACCTCACATGGACAATGAGACACTAGTCATAAAACCAATTTCAAGGGTCACACTATGATTAATTAAATCAAAATCTATGTCTAAGAACAATGAGAGTAATACTCATGACTGCAGTATATCTGTTTCATGTATGTGCAGATGATCAGACATGAGTATTTCTTGAGAAGTGAAGCAGAATGATCAAGAGTTCAAGGCCAGTTCCAGATACATGAGACCCTGCCTCAACCACCCCTTCCCCACAAAGACACATATTTTTAACTAAGCCTAAATTTGAAAGCCATTAACCTAAGACACCAAAAGGTTACTAAGACTATATTGCAGCACTAAGCTAGACAATGGCTCAGTCCCAGGACCATCAAGGCTGACCAGGAGAGCACATGGCTGAGACCAGCCTGGAACACACAGTGAGATCCTATCTCAATAAGCAAAGGACTGGGTATACTGTGTAGTGGTGGAGCCCTGGCCCCATGTTTGATCCCCAGTACTGCCAAAGAAAAATAAAGTAGCAACCTAATTACAGTCTGTTTCAATCCTAATTTCTTCAACACACAGTTTCCTCTGTGTAGTTCTGGCTGTCCTGGAACTCAACTATGCTGGCCTTGACCTCAGAGAGATCCACCTGCCTCTTTGCCTCCCAAATGCTGGGAATGAAGGCATTTGCCACCCAGCTTAAATCCTCCTATCTTAAGTACAGTCAATGAAATGTTCATCACAAACCCCTGGAGGCACAGAATCTTCAATCTTCTCTATATATAACTATAATCTGAACTTTCCATAAGCACTGTTGCCTTAGGTTTCACTAAGGCAAACATCTATGTCCCACATCAGTGCTAAGCAAGGAGCAGCCTCAGCCGAGGAAAATGTCAAGGAGCAGTATGCAGATGAAAGGCAGAATGGCATCTCCTCACAAGCTTCCTCTTAAGAACTGCTTGAAAAGCCCCACGAGCTGGGTAGTATGCTGAGTATCTTCATCCTCCGTGCGCCACAGCACTCTGACACTGGTGACTCATTCAAACCCTTTCCCATCTTCAGTCTTTAATGACCACAGAAAGAGTCTGACTAGGGGCACTGCTGAACGACAGGGCATGCATTAGCATGTGCTAAGCCCAAGGGATTCAATCTTCAGCACAAAGGAGGGAGGGAGGAGGGAAAGGAGGGAAGGAGATCTGCCAGACACGTACATGACTATAACTCAAGCACTCCAGAGGCTGAGACAGGAGCATCTAGATTCCAAGACATCTTAGGCTATATTGAAAGAGTCTGTCTCAAAAACAAAAACAAAACACAACCCAAAACTAAATGGGCACATTAGGTTATAGCTCACCGCTTGCCTAGGCATGCCTGGCATAGATCCCTAGCACCACACAAAATAAATAAATAAAATTAAAAGAAATAAAAAGAATCCTGTTTGTGAGGAAAAACAGGTAAAGATCCAAGAGACCTCTGTACTGTCTTTGCACTTCCTGTGGCTACAATTATTTAAGATGGATTTCAAAACTGAGTCTTCTGAACAACTAGCAAATGCCAAAGAGAAGAGAAGGATATTGGTATTTAACATTTTTTGTCAAGACAAAAGCTATCAGTGAAGAAGCCTCAGTCTAGTTTAGGGACGTAGCTCAGTTGGTAGAGGGCTCACCTAGCCCTGGGTTCGAGTCCCAGCAATGCAAACACTGGGCATGGTGGCTCACACTTGGCTCACACTAGTAAACCCAGCAGCATACATGGGAAGTGAAGGCAGGAGGGTCCAAAGTTCATAAAAGACCCCGACAAACAAACAAACAAATCGGTATTACTTCCAGGAATGAATGACGGTTGAAGGGATCTTCTGAACTGGGAATGGCAGGCAGCACACCAGTTATCCCAGACTAGGTCAGGCAGAAGCAGGGAGATCTTCTGGAGTCTAACTGGGTTACATAGTGAGAGAGACTCTGTTCCAAAATCCCAAAGCAGGAAATCGTTTATTTCATCCTAGGGTTTGGATCCCATTTAAGATAGTTTTATTCATCATTTTACTCACCATTTTTAATTTTGTTAATCAATCCTATCCTTAAATTCACATTGCTTCCTAGGTTAAAAACCTTTACCCAAATTCCTTTTCAGGAGCATACTTGAAACCTAACTGAATGTTTACCAACAACTATTTTAAGTCAGGTATATTTCTGGATTTATTTTTTTAATTTTGAGTTTTTTTTAAGGTAGAGTCTTGTAGCCCAGGTTCGCCTGGAACTCACTATGTATATAGTTTGAGCTGGCTTCTAACATGTGGCCTTCTAACATGTTGGATTACAAGCATGTGCCACCACATCTGGCTTTCTTTGTATTTCTAATTCTTACCTCTGATTTGGAAAGTTCAGTTTGTTCATTTTAATGATGGCAGTGTTCATCTGTATGAACTTACCAGCACCCTCAATCAACTCATTTCTGACCTCAATAATTCTTTTCCTTCTGTTTAGAGCAGTTCAGCCGAACACAACTGATTCTCATTTAGACCCCTCCAATTCTTGCCAAGTAAATGCAGAAAGGGATTCTCTTAAAAGTTATATGCAAAAATATAGAAATGCAAAGGTATTATTAGAGTCTGTAGACAAGCAAAGGAGTTGGAAGAAACTAATCACTCAGAGAAAAGTTCAGGAGAGTTAGCTGAAATAGGTCCAAGTGCTTTGCATGAACCCAACTACCCTCTCAGCAAACAGGTCAACAGAATAATTTTTTTTCCTACAGACAGGAAAAAAAATTATGCTTAACCACTTGAAAAATAATATGCAGATTTATTTTATTTCCAGCAGATGTGTTTAGAAACTACCTCTCCAGGCACTGGGAAGATAGCTCACTCAGTAAACTGAAGCGGCAGAAACACGGGGACCTGAGGTTAATCTCTAGCACCATGTAAAACCCTGGGTGTGATGGTATGTGTAGATCCATGTGGCTTTTGGGCCTGCTAGCTAGTCTAGCCTAATGAGTGAGTCTCGCCGGGCGGTGGTGGCGCACGCCTTTAATCCCAGCACTCGGGAGGCAGAGCCAGGTGGATCTCTGTGAGTTCGAGGCCAGCCTGGACTACCAAGTGAGTTCCAGGAAAGGCGCAAAGCTACACAGAGAAACCCTGTCTCGAAAAACCAAAAAAAAAAAAAAAAAAATGAGTGAGTCTCAGGTCCTCAGACTGAAACCCTGTCTCAAAAGACAAGGTAAGGAGGAAAAAAAGACAAAGTAGACAGCTCCTGAGAATAAATCTGAGGTTGAACTGTGGCCTCTACACACATTCACACACACACACACACACACACACACACACACACACACACACACACACACACAAAGCTATGTCTCCTTAAAATAAGCAACAGATTAGGTTATAAAGACAGGAAAGTGTAAAGCAAGCTTATTTTGCTTCACATTTCTTTGTGAAATTTGGTTAGGTCAATAATCAGGACAAATGAAATTAATTCAATAGCATGTAAATGCAATAGAAAATTTTACCAACAAAATTACATCCATTCCTTTTAAAACAGAATTACCAGTTGGGAACAGAAGTACATGCCTAAACCCCAGGATTTAGAAAGCCACATGAAGCCTGACTTAAAAGGCAAAAGGTTCAGCAGTTAAGAGCACTGGCTGTTCTTCCAGGACTCTGGGTTAGTTCCCATTACACAAATGGCAGCTCACAACTGTCTGTAACTCCAGTTCCAGGGGATACAACACCCTCACACATACATATGTGCAGGCAACACACCAATGCACATAAAATAAATAAATTTAAAAAACAAAAACACCATAAACCATGTCACTTCACTACACCAAGAATGAGCCTCAAGGACATACTCAAGTCTACTTACAGGATGTTATTAAGTAAAGCAGCCTCCCATACCCAGGTCACTTTCCAGTTTCAGTGGCACACATAGTAATTTCTGTTACAGTATATTGTCCTAGTTATCATAAATCTTTACTTTCTCAAAAATAAAACTTTGTAATAATTTATTGATTATAATTTTAGGCTAGACATGGTACACATGCATGTAACCAAATCCCAGAATTTGTGAGATAGTCAAGAGAATCAAGGCTGGGGTTGTAGAGATGGCTCAGTGGTTAAGATCATTATTGCCCTTCCAGAGGACCTGAATCTGATTCTCCGGACCCATATCAAGTGACTCAGAACCTCGTGTTAACTACAACTCCAGGGGATCCTATAGCGCTGGCCTAAGTGGACACCTACCCACACAGCAACACACATACATGATTTAAAAAGGGAGGGGGGAGATGGAGGGTCAAGGAGCAATGGAAGCATAGCAGCTGGGCAAGTGTGTGCTGAGCAAGCTGGAGTTGGGTGGTCAGCTCCATCAGGCTGCAGAAACAGCAAGTGCATGAGTTAGCACACAAGTTAGTGTCAAGTACAACCAATGGCAGCTGCAGTGGGATGTGGAAAAGCAAATGGACAGATACCAGGAGAAGCTGTACTATGGCAGAATCAGATATACCAGATGAAGTCAACACTTATGAACTGTTGGAAATGAACAGTCAAGAGGAAAGAAGCCAAAGAATCCAGGGACTCTTGGAGTCCTGCAGGAATCCCACAGAGGACTTCATCCAGGAGTTGCTGGCCAAGCTGAGAGGACTGTGCAAGCAGCTGCAGCCCATCCTCTCAAGATGACCATAGCCTGACCCCCTACCACGACTGGGCCCACACTGCCAGACCCTGACTATTGCCTGAATCCCTCTACTCCCAAACCCCCAAAATCCATATTGTTATTTAATGTTTAACAGTGTTTCTTATTTGTATTTAATAGTTCTGTAACAGGGGGGAAAAGCATATACACATACACACACATACACACATACATACACACACACACATCTTGGCTACGAGTTCAAGACCAGCCTGTGCTGCCTAGGCCAGTCTCAATAATAATAATAATAATAATAATAATAATAATAATAATAATAATAATAATAATAAAATAACCCTAAGTAACCTTTTAATTTCCAGCAATACCTAGGAAATAGAAAATTATAACCTATTATATCTAGCATTCTCTACTTTGGACCATTTACTACTGTATCATCATCAGTTTGCTCACAGACCAGCTTAACAGTACAGCAGAAAGTATTTATCAACAAATCCAAAGGTCGTTAGTTTCTCTGTAAAAATGAAATGCAAGAAGCATGCAGCTTTGAACTGGTGTTCAATAATTAACATTTTAGTGTTTGTAGATCTGTATGTCTAAAATACCGCCTACCTAATGTAGTATGAATATAAGTAAGTCATCAAGAAGACTACGAAAACCACTTGTTGGATCATTGTAAACTATAATTAGCATTGGAGTGTTCAAAGTAATAACTCCATTTGGGGCACTAAATTTAACTCAGTGATAGGGCCCAATATGGCCCTGTTTGAGTGTCAACGTCCTCCCAAACAAGTAAGTGACCTAATTAGAATACATCTACAAACTCTAATTTTTAAAATTTGAGACAGTGTCTCACTATATAACTTAAGCCAACTCTGAATTCATGATCCTCCTGCCTCAGGAGTGCTGGGATTACAGACACATGCCACTATGCCCTGGGCTGTTAAATAAAGTAGTAAATAATTATTAGCTTAATTAGTGCCCAAAACAGAATAAAACTGATTAAGTTATACTTAATAGTGACAGCTGTGAAGACATATCTATTTTATTTAACTTCAAATTAGCTTTTTACCAAGGAATTTTAAATCACATAAACTTGAAAGACTTTTGGGTCACTACCCAAACAACAACAACAACAACAACAACAACAACAAAAGCCGGGTAGTGGTGGCGCACGCCTTTAATCCCAGCACTCGGAGGCAGAGGCAGGCGGATCTCTGTGAGTTCAAGGCCAGCCTGGTCTCCAAAGCGAGTTCCAGGAAAGGCACAAAGCTACACAGAGAAACCCTGTCTTGAAAAACCAAAAAAAAAAAAAAACCAAAAAAACGCCGGGCGGTGGTGGCGCACGCCTTTAATCCCAGCACTCGGGAGGCAGAGCCAGGCGGATCTCTGTGAGTTCGGGGCCAGCCTGGGCTACCAAGTGAGTTCCAGGAGAGGCGCAAAGCTACACAGAGAAACTCTGTCTCGAAAAACCAAAAAAAAAAAAAAAAAACGTATTTATAGAAAGGAACCCACTGGTAGGGTGGTTTGAATATAATGGCCCCATAGGCTCATACAGGTATGGCCTTATTGGAGGTCTATCACTGGGGATGGGCTTTGAAGTTTCAAAAGCCCATGCCAGACCCCCATGCTTCTCTCTGCCTACTGATCAGGATATAGTTTTCAGCTACTGCTCCAGCACCTGCCTGCATGCTGCCATGCATTTGATAATGAACTAAAACTCTGTAACTATAAGCAACCCCCTAATTAAAATAAATGCTTTCTCTTATAAGAGTTACCTCGGTCATGGTGTCTCTTCATAGTGACCAAGACATAAGTTGGTAACAGGGAGTGAGGTATTGCTGTGACAGGTCTGACCATACTGTTTGTTGGAAAAATACGTAAAACTTTGGAACTTTCGACTAGAAAAACAGTTGAATGCTGAGGGGGGGCTTAATGGGCTTTCCTAGTAGAAGCATGGAAAACGGTGGTGCTTGGAGTGCTTAGGGCCCAGCTAAAAAAAAGTTTCAGAGAGGAAGACTAATATGGTGCCTGGAGATCATTCTTGTGATATTTTGGCAAAAGAAGGTGGCTGCTTTTACCCTTGTCCTGAAAACCTACCTGATGCTAATTGAAGAGTTTTGGGTTAATAGCACTGGCAGAGAAGATTTCAAAACAGCCTAGCATTGACTGTGTCATGTGGTTATTAGTAGTCACTTATGCGGACCTACAATGAAAAGGAACAAGAGGGCAAGGAGAAATATAAAAGGTACAGTTTGAAGAGAAAAGAAGCACCCGGAAATGTTTTGTTGGACTTAAGTCTTATGCTTCAGGAGATAAAAAGTTTAAAGACAAGCTTGATGCTAAATGGAATAAAGGAAGTGGTTGTGACCCCCACTCCAAGCTAAGCTTTCAACCTGTGAAAAAGAATTGAAGGAAAGCTTGAGCAGTGAAGGGAACCATCAACAGACAGCTGAATGCAAATGTCATTGAAAATGGAGGCCAAGTTCCAGACCTAGCAAGCGTAGAACTTGGCAGCTTCAGTCATGGCCACACGGCTCTGGCTTCAGAGTCAAGGATAGTCTCCCTCTAAGGAAAGTCACTGAGGCCAGGTGTGTGTATCTGGGGTGTCCCTGCAGGAAGCTCAGAGAGGCCATTATATGAAGCTGTGAATGAGAAGCCTGGATTGTGTTGGATACCCCAAAATGTTGGAAATGCCAGTCTTGGGATATCTGCCAAAAAATGCTGCAGATGAGAACCAGTCTGCAGTGTGGAACCAGCCCAAGAGAGAAGTGTGCTGCAGTCAACAAAGCTGAAAGGAGTTGAGGCTCTGAACTGAGTTGAGTGCTTTGACATCAGACATGGAGATGCCATGCTGGTTTTCAGTCTTGCTTTGGTCTGCTATGCTCAATTTCCTCACTTTTGGAATGGTAATGCATATTCTGTGCCACTGTATTTTCAAAGTATGTGGTGCACCTTTTGAGTTTGAGTTTACCGAGGGTTACAGTAAAAGGTTGCCATGAATCTCAGGTGAAATTTTGGACTTTTAAACAGTGTTGAGACTGTAATAGACTATGGAGACTTTTGAAGTTGTACTGAATGCATTTTTGCATTATGATATGACTGGTTACAAGCCTATGTAGGGGCCAGGGAGTGTAATGTGGTGGTTTGAATGAAAATGACCCCCATAGGTCCATATACATGTGGCCTTGTGGAAGAAGTGACTACTCTACTTAAATTCCTAGAAACAAAAACAAGCAGAACCAGAGAGTAGAAATGGTGGTTGCCAGGGACTAGGGAAGCAGAAAAGGGTATCTGTTATCTACCAAGTTTTAATTTGCAAGATGGGAGATCTGCCTCAACAATGTAAACACACTTAACATCACTGAACTGTACATTCAACAGTTAAGATGATAAACAGTGCATGTACTTTTTATATTAAAAAAGAATTGATGCACCAGGCACGCCTTTAATGCCAGCACTGGGGAGGCAGAGGATCTCTGTGAGTTCGAGGCCAGGATGGTCTACAGAGTGAGTTCCAGGATAGGCTCCAAAGCTACACCAAGAAACCCTGTCTTGAAAAAAACAAAAAAGAATTAATGGGGGCTGGAGAGATAGCTCAGAGGTTAAGAGCACTGGCTGTTCTTCCAGAGATCCTGAGTTCAATTGCCAGCAACCACATGGTGGCTCACAACCATCTATAATAAGATCTGGTGCCCTCTTCTTGTGTGCAGGCATATATGCAGACAGAATACTGCATACATAATAAATCAATCTTAATAATAAAAAAAAGAATTAATGTGAAGCTGGCTTGGTGGCTCATTAGTATTCAGGAGTCTGAAGTAAAGCTGCCACAGGTTTGAGGCCATCCTGATCTAAATAGTGAATTCTAGGCCAGCCTTCCCTTAAGTATGAGATGTGGTGTCAAAGAGCAGAACAAAAGCTGTGAATATAGTTCAATTGATAGAGTACTTACCTAGCATGTACAAAGCCCTAGGCACTGCAAAAACCAGGTATGGTGGCATATGCCTGTAACAGCACTTAGGAAATGGAGGCAGAAGGATCAGAAGTTCAAGGTCATCCCTGCTAGACAGAATTCAAGAATACCCTTGGCTATATGAGTCCCCATCTCAAAAAGCAAACAAGCAAATAAAACATATATAATATCTACCCAAATATAGGAAATACAGTGAAAAGCATCCTATTTGAAATTATTAGTGCATGGAAAATAATAGTTTCTCAGTGGGGAAACATGATGGCACCTGGGGGCTTCAAGTGTAGAACCCCGAAAACATTTATATTTATTTATATTTCTTTATATGGCCCAGAAGTAAATCAGACAAATCCAAGTTGAGAAACAGTCCCTACAATTTCTGAATCAGATTGCAACTAAATACAATCATGTAAACACAAGCCCAATCCCAGCATTTGAGAAGCTGGGGCAAAAAGACAGTGGATTCGAGGTCAGCCTGAATTCATACTACATATACTATGTACTACATAGCAAGAGCCCATCTTAAAATAAGACAGGTGAGATGGCTCACCAGGTACAAGTTGCCATCCAAATCTGACAATGTGAATTTGACCTCCAGAAGCCAAGGTAGAAAGAGAGAATGAACTCCTCAGAGTTGTCCTTTGACCTCCACAGAGGCACTCTAGAACATGTGAGCCTGAACTCACACACACACATTATACAAAACAATAATAATAATGTTTTTAAAAACTCAAAAGTAGGGCTGGAGAGATGGTTCAGTGGTTAAGAGCACAGACTGCTCTTCCAGAGGTCCTGAGTTCAATTCCCAGCAATCACATGGTGGCTCACAACCACCTATAATAAGATCTGGTGCCCTCTTCTGGCCTGCAAGGACACATGCAGACAAAAACACTGTATGTATAATAATAAATAAATCTTTTTAAAAAAAAAAACTCAAAAGTAAATAGATATATATGTATATGTACAGACAAATACATCTGAGAATGATGTTTTCAACCTAATGGTGAAAAGTTAAGGCAAAAATATTTATATCAAGAATGATGCTGGGCAGTAGTGGCACACATCTTTGATCCCCGTACTCAGTAGGCAGAGGCAGGGGGATCTGAGTTCAAGGTCAGCCTGGTCTACAGAGCTAGTTCTAGGACAGCCAAGGCTACACAAAGAAACCCTGTATCTTGAAAAACAAACAAATAACAACAAAGAATGATAAACAGGGGCTGGAGAGATAGCTGAATGGTTAAGCATGGGTGCTGCTTTTCTAGAGGATCTAAGTGTGGTTCCCATTACTCATATCAAGTAGCTCACAATTACCTGTAACTCCAGCTCCAGGGAGAATTCTTACACTTCTGGACTCCTCAGGCACCTGCACACACATGCATATATACACACTATAGATTTACACATAATTCTTAATAATCAATCTTGTTTTAAATGGTAAATAAAACAGGATGGCGCGATGGCTCAGTGGTTAAGAATATCTTGTAGCACTTATAGAGAACCCAGGCTCAAGTACTCACACCGCACCTTGTAACTGTCTAGCTCCAGATCAAGGAGATCCAATGGCCTCTTCTGGCCTCCTTGGCACCAAGTGCACACATGGTAAACATATATATATGCAAACACTCATACACACAAACTAAAAAAATAAAATCTTTTTAAAGAAAAGAATAAAACAAAAAAAATAATGATAAAGCAATGGGGCAAAGTTTAAAAAATTAGTGACTATCTGGGTATAATGATGCATGCCTATATAATCTCAGCACTTGGGAAGAAGAGGCAGGAGAATCAGTGCAAAGCCATCCCCAGTTACATACTGTGTTCCAAGCCAGCCTAAGCTATTAGATCTTGGGGGGAGAGACACACACAAATTAAAGACCCAAGGTAAAAACTTTACATGAGTTCTCTACAATGATTGAAAAAGATGGGTATAGTGGCACAAGCCTTTAATTCCAGCACTTGCAGATCTGAGTTTGAGGTCAGCCTGGTCTACATAAGGAGTTCCAGGACAGCCAGAGCTATAATATAGAGAGCCCCCGTCTCAAAATCAAAAAACGGAAAAAAAAGAAAATTTCAAAATAAATCTAATTGCAGTAACATGGTCTGGGGACATCGCTTAGTAGGTGAAGTGCTGCCTTACTGGCAACAGAAGGCAATCTGACCACCAGAACCCTTTGTAATCCCAGCATTGAGGAAGTTGAGGGAGGCAGATCCCTGGAGCTCACTGGCCAGCCACCCTGGTCTAAACTGCAAGCCCCAGCTCCCACTGAGAGAACCTGTCTCAAAAAACAAGGCAGAGGGGCTAGAAAGATGACAGTTGCTGCTCTTCCAGAGGACCCAAGCTCAGTTTCCAGCACCCAAGTCAGGTGGCTTGGCAACTATCTGTAACTCTAGCTCTAGGGGGTCTAACACCTCTGGCCTACTCATCACCTGTACTCATATGCAGATACACACACCTAGACGTAATTAAAAACAAAGCTAAAACTTCAAAACAAGGGACACAATTCATGAGGAATGACACCCGAAATAGACATCTGACCTCCAGATGCACCTGCAAGCACATGTGTGTATATACACGCAAGCATATGCTCTTATGGGTGTGTAAACTCACATCATCATATACTATAGTATTATAGGAAAAATAATGTTTTCAATTAATACACCATTTAGACAGATAATTCCCTCCCAAAGATACATTAAAAATAGGTTTTTAAAAAAATCTAATCTTGGGACTGGAGAGGTGGGTGGCTCAGAAGTTAAGAGCACAGGCTGTAGGCCAGGCGGTGGTGGCGCACGCCTTTAATCCCAGCACTCAGGAGGCAGAGGCACACGGATCTCTGTGAGTTCGAGGCCAGCCTGGACTACAGAGGGAGTTCCAGGAAAGGCGCAAAACTACACAGAGAAACCCTGTCTCGAAAAACCAAAAAAAAAAAATTAAAAAAAAAGAGCACTGGCTGTTCTCCCAGAGGACCCGGGTTCAATTCCCAGCACCCACATGGCAGCTCAAAACTGCCTGTAACTCTAAGATCTGACACCCTCAGGCAGACAGACATGCAGGTAAAACACCAGTGCACATAAAATGAAAATAGTTTTTTAAAACCATCCAATCCTGGGGCTAGAGAAATGGCTCAGGGTTTAAGAGCACAGGTTGCTTCTTCCAGAGGTCCAGGATTTGATTCCCAGCATTCACATAGTGGCTTATAACTACTTATAACTCTGCTCCCAGGGGATTCAACATCCTCTTCTGGTCTCCCTGGGTACCAGCCACACAAATGGTGCACAGACACACATGCAGGCAAAACATTCAAACATATAAATTTTTTTCTTTTTATTTTTCTTTATTAAGAAATTTTCTACTCACTCTATATACCAACCACAGATTCCCCTCTCCTCCCTCCTCATACATATAAAATTTAAAAATAAAGATTAGAAATGTAACCATGATACAGTATGTACTCAACATGTCCAAGACCCTAAATACAATCCTTAATGTCATACACACAAAGAAAAGTCATCTTTGTTTTATTTGGGGGGGGGGGGGTAGGGGGGGTCAAGACAGGGTTTCTCTATGTAACCCTGGCTGTCTTAGACTCGCTCTGTAGACCAGGCTAGCATCAAATTCACGGAAATGAATTGCCACTTGCCTCTGCCTCCCAAGTGCTGGAATTAAAGCCATGCACTGTCACCACTACCACCACTGCCTGGCCAAAGAAATCATCTTAGTTTCACCAAAACCATATTTTCTTTAGAACATGTTCTCCTTATATAACCAGGAACTACATACATCTGACTCTACCAAAGCATTTGAGGAAACAAACAAATGTTTGTTAAATTGAGGGCCAGTGGGGCTGGAGAGATGGCTCAGCGGTTGGGAGCACTGACTGCTCTTCCAGAGGTCTTGAGTTCAATTCCCAGCACCACATGGTGGCTCACAACCATCTGTAATGAGATCTGGCACCCTCTTCTGGCCTGCAGGTAAACATGCTGTATACATAATAAATAAATCTTTAAAAAAAAAAAAAAAATTGAGGGCCAGTGAGACAGTTCCAACCAGTAAATGTGCTTATGTACCAAACCTGACGACCCGAGAGTTTGATCCCCAGGACTGGCAATAGGAGAGAGCAGGTTCCCAGAAGCAGTTCTGTGATTTCCACACATAAACCATGGCATGCACATGTTTACACTCATGTGAGTGTCCACACATACTAAAACAAGTAAAGAAAGGTAAGTTAAAAACAGGGCTCAGGATGCAGGCCAGTTGGCCAAATGTTACCCCTAGAATGCAGAAAACTCTTGGGATTTAGTCCCCAGCATGACATAAAATTGAGTGTGGTGGTGCTCCTATAATTCCAATTCTTGAGAGTTAGAAAATGGAAGGAGGGGCTGGAGAGATGGCTCAGAGGTTAAGAGCACTGGCTGTTCTTCCAGGTCCTGAGTTCAATTCCCAGCAACCACATGGTGGCTCACAACCATCCATAATGAGATCTGGTGCCCTCTTCTGGCCTGCAGGTGTATATGCAGACAGAACACATACATAAGAAATAAATAAATCTTTAAAAAAGAAAGAAAAAAAAAAAAAGAAAATGGAAGGTAAGGAGTTCAAGACTCTGCTCCCACATAGTGAACTCTAGGGCAGGCTAGGATACATAAGACCATTTCAAAGAGAAAAAAAAAGGAGGGTCACAGCCTGCTATGGTAACACAAGCATTAATCCCAACACTTGGGAGGCACAGGCAGGCAGATCTCCCTAAGTTCCAGGCCAGCCAGGTCTACACAGTGAGTTTCCAAGCCAACCAATGCTAAATAACAAGACCTTGTCTCAAAAACAAACAAACAAACAAACAAAAGACCGTGCAAGATGGTTCACAGTTCAGTGGGTAAAGGTGCTTGCCACCAAGCCAACAACCTGAATTTAATCACCATGGTAAAAGAGAAAAAAACCAAATCCTGCAAGTCGTCCTTTGGATTCAGTCTCCAAAACACAAGATAAAATAAAATTAGAATAGGGACAGTAGGCTGGCATTGTGACTCTTGGGGTGAGGGGCAGTAACTGGCTAGGCTAGGGCAAGAGGACCAGAAGTTCCAGGCCAACCTAGGCAACATATCAACAGTGCTTCAAATTAGTCACCAGAGTGCTCCCCTCCTCTAATGTGCATGAAGCCCCAGATTCAATCCCCAATACTAGCAAAAGAAAATTACCTGGGAACCACAGCACATCCCTGGCACCCCAGCCCTTAGGAATAGAAACAGGGGGTCAGGACTTCAAGCCAGGCTTAGCTGTCAAGTTTGAAGGAAGCCTAGATTTGAGATCCTGACTCAATAAAGCATAAAAGAAAAGAGTAAAAATTAAAAGGTGAGCCGGGCAGTGGTGGCGCACGCCTTTAATCTCAGTACTCGGGAGGCAGAGCCAGGTGGATTTCTGTGAGTTCGAGGCCAGCCTGGTCTACAGCGCAAGATCCAGGACAGGCACCAAAACTACACAGAGCAACCCTGTCTCGAAAAACAAAAATAAACAAACAAACAAATAGATAAATAAAAATAAAAGGTGCTAGGATATGGTGTTAACACCTGCAATTCCAGGACTCAGAAGGCTAAGACAGGAAGTCTCAAGGTCCAAAGCCAGCCAGGGCACAGGGCCTCGCTGTCTCCAACAACAGGCATCTTACATATCCCTACTAATAACTATCATTTATAATTTTAAGCAATTTACTTAATCTGGCACTATGTCTACAAATTTAACCTGAAAATCAGAGTGAAATGAAACAATGTATATACAACACAGAAATGGCAGCTGTAGGGCTGGCAAAGTAGCTCAGTTGGGAATAATACTTCCGGAGCATAGGTGAAGCACTGGACTGGGTCCCCAACATCTTGTAAAAGCAAGAGGTGGTAGCATGCATCTACAGTTGTAGCACTCAGGAGATGGAGGCAGGAGGATCAGAAGTTCAGGGTCATCCTCAGTTACCTGAGGCCTGCCTTTGACTACAGACCCTGTCTCAAGGGGGAAAAAAATGCCAAGTGCGAGTAGTTATTATGAAGTCCAGAAAGTAAAGCTTAGCAGCTCTGTTAAGTGATACATATGAGAAGTGAAACTACAGAGTTAGGCAACTATATAAACTGGTTCAAAGGGAAGAAAACAAAAATTATGGACAACTTACACCTGACAGGAAGCTAAATTTAAGAAACCACTTCCAAGTGAACGTACTAGTTTTAGAGCAAGAATCTGGATCTGCTACTCAAGTTGTACATTCTCCAAATGCATTGCTTAATTTGCAATTATAGTCCATTCTAAAGTAATTCTGTTTGAGCTAAACTATCTCCTAATTGCTCCAGAACCAGAGTGAAAATCAAATTGATGGGGCAGGAAACCTATGTATTTTCAAAAATATTTTATATGTATGGGTGTTTTGCCTGCATGCATTTATGCAAACTACATGTGTGCAGCACCTTTGGGGGTCAGTAGGTTGGATCACCTGGAGCAGGAGTCAGACAGTTATGAGCTGCCTTGTATGTGTTGGGAACAGAACCCATATCTTCTGGAAGAGCTAAGCCCTCTCTCCAACCCCAGAAATCTATACACTTTTGAGAACCACTGACTAAACTGTGTTTAGCAAAGTTATTCTGCATTAAATCCAGGCAAAATTTAACAAAACCTTCACTTACTTCTCTATCTGCCAGCCACTACAGCAAAATTCTTTCTGGTGATGTGCATCTTAATGTAGGAGTTTAGGGAGAACTAAGCTACTAAGAAATTACATATGTACTTACTTGGCAGGCCAAATAACTAAGAACATCTTTCACCTTTTGAAAGTTATAACAGTTATAACAGTGAAGATAAGCATTAACACTCAAGCTACTTAACAGCAGCCCCCAAAAAAGTTGCCTTACCATCCCATAGTTTCATCATGACTTTAAAACAGCACACAGTAAAGTATGGTCTTATTTACATGTAAAAAGCTGAAAATTAACCTTATTAGAAACTCCCACCAAGCATGGCCTTGCCTGTAATCCCAGCACTCAAAAGCTAAGACAGAAAAGATCATAGACAGTTTAAAGCCTGCATGGGCCACAGAATAAGAACCTGTCTCAAAGAAAGAAAAGCTTCAAGTGCAATAAAGCACGTCTGGAATAGTGTATGTATAATACATCTAGTTACCTAAGATACAATATTTATAACTAGATGTGGTGACACGGGCTTGTTATTCCAGCACTCAGGAAGCTGAGGCAAGAACAACATCTGAGTTCAGGACCAGCATGGTTATATGGAAGCCTGTCCAAAGAGACTTTTTTTTTTGGGGGGGGGGTTTATATATAATATAAAAATACATCTAATAAAATTGATAAAAATTATTTGGGGGCTAGGCAATCACATCCCTGTAATCCCAGGACTAAGGAGGCTAAGGCGGAAAGATCGCAAACCCCAGGCCAGCCAGAGCTACACAGTAAAATCCTGTCTCAAAGCAAAAAATTACCACAATTCTTTGTTTTCAGATTCAAACTAGATTTTTATTTGCCAACAACTAAGTATCTGTGCCAACCAAACAGTCAGATTGGAGCAACATACAATGGAGGAACTCAGTACAGTAGTGAGCATCCCAGAAGTTGTCTGGATCAGGAAGGGATTGATTGGCACTTGCCTCTGCTACTCTTCTTACAAGCCCTCTAGCACCTTTCAAGATAAGGTATAATCACCAATAAATTCAGAATGTACAGCTCAACCCAGCCTTCACACATACTACTAGAGGGCCTAGGTCCTCAACCTCCAAGCTTTAGGACACACTACTGACACCACTACTCACTGCTCCACCAGAATGGCTGTATATTTTTCCCACCAAAAGTAGGGCTATTGCACCATACGTTCATGGTCTCTGTAAAGAAAAGAAATCATTGTCTTGGTTTATATTTCCTTTAAAAACAAATGTTCTACAAATTAAATTTAAGATCCTAAACAGTAAATGCTAAAGTTTTCAAAAGAAATCATTTCAATTTTTAATAAACAGCCCCCCATACACAGAATATTATACTTGTAAAAATACAGTAATATGCATGTGCCATAAAATTAAAATATGCAAGTCTTTTTAAGTACCAATGCTTATTTCATGGTTCCTTAATTCAGGGATTCAGAAATATTTTTCAGGGTTTCAAAGTAGCTTTATAATTATTTTTAAGATAATAATGAATAAAATAATCCCCTGGACATGGCACACTCCTAGAGTCCTAACAGGAGTCAAAAGGAGGAGCTGCACAACTAGTCCAAGGCCAGTCGAGGCTACACACAGGACCTCTTCTTTTAAAAAAAACGAAAAGAAAAGCCAGGTGTGGTGGTTCAGCCTATAATTCCAGCACTAGAGAAGTAGAAGCAGGAAGATCCAGAGTTCAAAGCCAACTTGGGCTACATAAGACTGTGTTTCAAAAACAAAAACTTGCATAGAAAATGTTCCTTCATGTATGGACTGAGAAAGTCTACAGGGAAGTAAAAGATAACCACTTTAACTAAGTCAATTCAGGTACGTAAAAAGGGTCCTGAGGAGACCCGAATGAAAATGTTGTCCTTCAATCTGCTATGAAGGTTAAATTACTAAAACAGATAACAAAACTGTATCAATCAGAAAAAGATCCAGAATAAACAAATCGCAAGGGTAAATATAATGGCAGAACCACAGATGAACAGAAGCCTGGAAAATTAACTATGTGCAGGTATAAACTTTATTTGTAGTCCAATTTGAACAAAACAATCCTGAGATTTTCATGACAACATTCACTGACCAGAGATTTGAATCAATATAAAGGAAATGCTAGAACTCTGGGAATGACAGTGATAGTATGGTTATTTTTTAAAGCCCATATCTTTTCAAAGAACTAAACTGTAATAAATGTTGAAGCAGGGCAGTGTATACATACAGACATACCCCATGATAAAAAGTACATCAGTATTTATTATTGTCTAAAATAATCAGTTTACTAAAGGATGATTATATGCCAAAATTATAAAAACTGAGATTGATGAGGAAAATAAGAAAAAAAAAATTCATGTGTAAGGCTAACTGCTTTGTCATTAGACAATGCTAATGACCTCAGCAATAGACAAGTAATTTAAACTAGCTAAGGGGGCTGGGTATAAAAACAACAGCTAGAGTAAATGAACTGTAAACTGTATGCTTCACTTAGAGGTATTCAATATTTTTTTAAGCTATAATCAACAAAATTTGTTTTTAACTAGATATTCAAACTACCCTCATTTTAGGCTAAATATGTCATTTATGGCCAAGATCTCGAGAAGTAAAGGGCGGTACAACTGATGTGTTGCTTAAAGGAAGGGTAAATTCTGAGGAGTGCCATTGTTGAAAACATCATGGTTTACACTTTACAAACTAGAGAACTATGAAGTCACAGAATGATAAAGTCCTCATCAAAAGAACAGTTGGTTAACAATATGGTCTGTCCTTTCTGGTAAGCTGACACCAGCTTATGCATTTATATGCATTATGCTTGTCTGTATTCATGTCAACTGGCCACAAACAAATGACCCTCAAAAGAACTATAGGGGTAGAAGCAATGTTTAGAATGTTTGAGGCCTTGGAGTCAACCCTTATTCAATCCAAAAAAACTAAATAAATGCAGTAACTAACCCTCCTGAAGACTAAACAAAAGCACACTGACATATTCCAGTTTTCTCACTGGATAAGCAGGAACTCCAGCTTCAGAAATTATTATACATGCTCTCCTATATTCAAAGGAAGGAAGTAAAGACTCCAGAGCAGCAGCCTATTAACGGAGTACTCTGCTTGGCTTCAAGACCCGGGATCCTTTGCATCACTCTGCACAGTCACTAAAAATTAAAGCACTGACTCTTAAAAAATACACAATTCTTTACTTCCTGCTTAAAAGAAAACTTGCTACCCCATCCAACTTTTCACTTACATTTAAATCTTTACTTTGCGACTCATAAGCTAACTGGCCAAATTAAATAAGCCTCAATTGCCTCCCATATAAATGAAATGCCACCATTAGAGTTAAAAAGACTCTAACTTATGTGATACAATGTCTGCCATTCAATTGGGAGCTCTTGCTATTTTCATCAGGAAGTATAATTCAGTGGCCAATTCAAATAAGATACAAATTATTTTTAAAGTGTCTGTTGAATACAGTGTAGCCATGGCCTGAGCACAATGGATAAAAAGTATCTCCTGGGCTGGATATATAGCTCAAAAGTGGGACACAGGCTGCAGTCCCAGCTACTGTGGCTGCTGAGGCAGGAGGAAGCTGAGACAAGAGGATCAGCTTGAACCCAAGAGGTCAAAACAGGGAGACTAAGACTCTGCACCTTTCAAAAGGGAAAACAGCTCCTCCAAGAAAAGAAATCACTAGTTATAAGAAATGCTATTAGCAAATTAGACCAAAACTCGGAATTCCAACTTTCTAAAACTGATACAATGAGCACCTGGACATGAGAAAAGACAAGCCACTCTATTTCCAAAAACTTACCTTTTTGCACCTTTCTTTTGCAGATTTGAAATTCAGATTCTCACACAATCACTGGCCTCTTCTTCTGTTTGATTCAATAGCATACACATTAGAGTGTCTCTCTTGCTATTAAAAACACCAGCAGAAAGCACTGTCTTAAGCAGCTTTCTAACTATGAAAACTAAAGCACTAATGAAAGCACTAACCCAAAATTACAATAATAATAATAATAATAATAATAAAATAAAATAAAAACAAAACAAAACCCCTGAAGACTAGCAAAGTGTACAGACTGACAGAACAGGTGCCCATTGCCCCCCACCAAACCACCATATTCCAGTATGAATTTAAAAGTTGTTCCCAAATGGAAAACGATTCCTGTGTCTTGACGGGAGGTCAAGGAATTAAAAGTAAAGCATAAGCCAAGATATGGGGTATGATGGGAAATGCCTGTCATACCAGTACTTGGGAGAGGCTGAGTCAGAAAGATTGCAAGTTTGAGGCAAGCATGGACAACTTAACCCAGACCATGTCTCAAAAATAAAAGACAGACAGGCGGGAGAAGGCTGGGGTGTGTGTGGCTTAATGGCAAGATGCTTGCCTGGCATGCAGGAGGCTCTGGGTTCGATCCCCAGTACAGCGAAAAGAAATTAAATAAATACATAACACACCAAGCACACTAATAAACCATTTCCAAACAGGTGAGACACCAGAGTGTGTGTGCTGTTGCAGGAAACAGAATGGAGAGCCATGAATGGGAGTCTCTGCACTTCCTATCTGCAAAAGAAGAGAATAAAAAGGTTAACTCTAAAACTGAGAACAGATTATCTTCTTTACTTGTTTAAAGCAGTGCCCAGAAAATTTTATACAAAAGACGAAAATATACTGGTTAAGACAGAGGTTTGTAGGTGAATTCAACCTTCCAATCAAAACATAAATGTAAATGTAAATATAGTCTCAGAAGTCATTTGAGAGTCAATCCCTAGCACTTGCCAAAGAAAAAGTCATTTGAACCCACCACTTTGAAATTAAAGGTTTAAAAAACAAGGGTCTCATCCCATCTTCAGATATTTCTTTAAGCTGTAAGTAAAATTAGCAAAATGTGCCTCCTTTTTGAAGAGTTACCCTCCGGGGAACTACTTCCAGCAGTGAGAATAACAGTAAAAAAAGGTTCATTAATTCCAGGCTCTTCTTCCTCTCTTAACAAGTGACAGGTAACCTTTAGGGAAGCCCAAAGCACACACCCCTTTCTTCAACCCCGCTAAAGTTAAAGGTTGATTTGAGGACAGACAAGTGCCTCAGCAGCACCTCTCCCCCCGCCCGGCACCCGGTCCTCCTCCGGGGGGGGGGGGGGGATCCATCTGCATTTTGCATTAACCCATCTGCCCCAGTGTGCGAGCCAGGGTCGCAGAGGGCCGGAGATGAGGAGGAGGCGGGGTACGCCAGCCATCTGCACCCGTGCGCGTCCCCAGCCGCACACCTGGGGTCGGGCCCGCCCTCCGGGGCCGCGCGCGCGTCTGCCCCACGCGGAGCGCGCCCCACGGAGGGAGCGAGCGAGCGAGCGAGCGAGCGAGCGGCGCGCAGGACCCGAGGGCGGGGCGGGAGCAGCCGGGGTTCGCGCTCTCCGTCGCGGCGGAGCGGACGGCGTGCTGTCGGGGGCCGGCGGTACCTTTTCGACAGGTCCATGAGGACCCCGGAGAAGAGCTTCTCCCCGAGGCGGAACGACACGACGAGCGCGTCCTCGATGATGTGGTCCAGCGTGACCCGCACCTCCGAGCCGGGGATGAGCTGCGACACCGCCGAGTCCCCGCCCGCCGGCGGCACGAGCGCCGGAGCTAGCGGCGGCCGCGGCACGTCCTCGGACGGCTCGGGGGCGGCCGGGGGCTGCTCGGGCGGCGGGGCCGGGGCGGCCGCGGGCTCGGGAGGCTTCGCCTCAGCCTCGGGGCTACCCGCCAGCTCCCCCGGAGGCGGCGGCGGCGGCGGCGGCGGCAGCGGCTGCTCGTCGGCCTGAGGGGCGGACTGGCGCCCGTCGGCCTCGCCGTCCGGCACCGCCGCCTCGGTGGCCGTGACCGGGAGGGGGGTGCCGGCCTCGCTGCCGGGGATGGGCTCCAGCTCCGGCTCAGCCTCGCCGGCGCCCCCGTCCCCGGGGGACGCCGCGGTCGCCGCCGCCTCAGCAGCCACGGCCGCCATTTTCTCACTGGTCTCTCCCTCCTCCGACTCGGGCTGCGGCGGCGGCGGCGGCGGCAGCGCGGCTGGGTTCCCGAGGCCTTCCCCTCCCTCCCGCTAACACTGTCGTCCCGCCCTTTCCCTGATGCTCGTGATTGGCACC